CCCCCCCCCCCCCCCCCAAATGTTGTAAGTTATGGCCACAAGTCTCCTCTTCAAAATCCTAGCAGGAGTACAGCTAAGATGGAAAAAAAAAATCTAGATCTGATCTATGATCCTCTCATCTGGTTCCACTGAGCTGGTAGAACTGCAAAGGAAGGGCTTTTAATCCTGCAAGGTGCTGAGTGCACTGGCCTTAATTAAAGTCAGAAGCACATGCTGCATCTTAAGATAAAAAGCAGTTTCACTGGAGTCAATGGGTGTGGTTCTACTGGCGGTGACGGCACAGACTGGCTATACTTTTTTTCTAATAACAAGATCATATTCATTTTTAAAAACATTAACAGTACAAGACATGTATACCCCACTCATAATAAATTCCTATACCCTTGTCGGTTAAGCTAAATGCCAAAACTATTTCAAGGGAAGTTTAGGTAAGATCAGAATAATGGTGACTTTACCCCAAATTCATCAGAAAGTCGAGATGTCTTAAAATATTATAGTTAGAAGTAAATGCTGAAAAGTAAGAGAAGTGTAGCAATTAAGAATATAGCTTTTCTTAACAGCTGGTATTTGTGGCATATAAAAAGCATTAAAGCATTAAATTCATGCTTCTTTCAGTTACTAGGGTCTTATTTAACCCAAACAAACAAAATGATTTAGAGAATTTCCCTACTGTTCTTCTAGGAAGAATATTTTATGCCATTGTACTTTCATTTTGAGAAAAATCTGTATCATTTAGATGCAGAATCTGTAGGAAATCTTCAGAAAGTGTATAAACATAGCAGGCCTCTACCATTCTGAAACAATTCACAAACAGCTGCTGTAGGAAGTATGGAGATATCTTTCAATCCAGTAGTACATGCTGATGTAAGATGCTACAAAAAGCACTTTATCAAGGAAGAACACAAGTGGCTATGAAACCAGCTCTTTCTCCACGCAAACCAAAATCCTCTCTTCCCTTGGAAAAACACAAACCTACAAAGAGTGTATGGAAGCTGTAGTTTCTTGTTGCTGTGCACTGGCTGTTAGAGTAACATTTTTGCTACTCTAACAGCCAGTGCACAGCAACAAGGAACTACAGCTTCACATGCATCACTACAACTAGCACATTTTATGGATGACACATTGTCATATGACAGGTCCTCAGCTAATAATAAAAATCAACCAAAACATGTTGTTTAGGATGATTTAGACCAGGGGTGGCTAACCAGCGGCGTGTGTGCCACACACAAGAAGCTGTCTGTACCACTTGTGACATCCAGAAGATCAGGGAGGGGGCAGGGAGCATGTCAGCAGATACAGCAGGGAGCAGAAGGTGAAGTAGCAGATCAAGCAGAGGGCACAAGGAAGGAAGCAGAAAATGGAGCAGCAGACCAGCAAAGGGTTGGGAGCCAAAAGCAAAGCAGCAGATCAGCAACAGGGAGCAGAAGGCAGAAAAGCAGATCAACAAAGGGCTAGGAGCAGAAAGCAGAGCAGCACATCAGGTAGGGGGAGCAGATAGGAGTGGCGCTTGGGAAGGGCAAGGGACTAATTTGTGGCGCATCTGCCATAAAGGTTGGCACCATTGGTTTTGACAGGGTTGGACTAGATGTGACCTCCTGAGGTCCCTTTCTGCCCTATTTACTAGTGGTGCCTGTAGGCACGTGGGACACCTGCTCTGACGTGCTGTAATCACATCACGTCAGAGCAGGCTTGATTAACCACAGCACATAGGAGCTGACACAAATAATTGAGTCTGTTGGAGCATGCTAATTACCAAGCTCCGGCAGCCTCAGTGTCTCATGCATCGAAAGAACTTTAGCTAAAGCACCCCTGCTGCCATTTTGAAGTGTGGGACGCTGAATACATAAGACACTGCAGGCACTTGAATTAGAGTGGCTCCCAAAAGTCACTCTAATTACAGTCCCCCCGCCCCCCCAGAGCATGTATAAAGATGCCCTAGGATTCTGCGTACCATCCACAACCAGAATATTTCCTTTACAGACTGATAAGCTCTTGACCATTTTTTTCAGATTCCTCTACAGAGCCAATGCTCTATCATATTTTCTTCCTTCTCATGATTTCAGTGGGATAGCTTTGCCCTTTTGAAAAACTATACCAATTAAAAAAAAATCCAACATAGACACCACTTTCTTCCCTGAGAAGTAATGTTCAAATTCCCTCTGAGACCCATTGCTTTCATCCCAAAGGATGAAGTTTGTTAAGCTTCTTCCCAGCTGACCAACACATAGCAAAAATGTAAAAATCTGTAGGAGAGCTTGAACCTATCAAAAGGGAACTGTATATATCAAGCAGTGAGATAAACTGAAAGATAAGCACAATAATAATAAGAAGAAAATACAGCAAATCGAGGAGAACTGTTCCCAGAGATGTGGACTTGGAGGAACAAACAGAATATCACCTGTTCCAATAATGAATGAGCTTTACTATTCTGAAATGGGTGGGTTTTGTAGGGTTCTCTGCCCCTGGTAACATGAGTCATACCTGCCTCAGATTAAGATAGAAATATGCCCATAAACCTTAAATTTAAAGAAGTTGTATAATCTGGCTTGAAGAATGAATCAGTCTTCAGAATTTTGTCAGGTGACAGACAGTTGTCTCCATCCGGCGGTAGGGTACTAGCCTGTTCCATATTTTGAAAACAAATGATATGGAAAATATAAGGACAGGGAAGTGAAGTGGAATTTAAACCACTTCCTTTCTGAAAACAGAGAATCCACATCTAGGATATAAACGTTACAATATTCCCCCAGACAAATCTATGTTACTTACGCATCTGTGATCTTAGTACAGCCATTCAGGTTTAATACTTCAATATTTCTGCAGTTCTGTGCAAATGTCCTTCATTGGAGAAAAGACAGAACATGCTCTTTTTCAGACAAAATATTTACAAATACTTAAAGTGGATGCTTTAACTTCTATACCAAACTATGATTTTATAATAATAATAATAATAATAATAATAATAATAATAATAATAATAATAATAATAATAAATCTCTGTCTTTGGCAGACTGTCAACTATTCCTCAGTTTTTTACGTCAGGATTTTTCACAAGGACATGGCAACACACAAGTGACTGCTGAGCTTTTACTGATAAAAGTTTATACAGAGAATTAATGGGCTATAGGCCTGCATCTTGTCTCTGAAACTTCCCCAGGCAGAAACAACGGTCTGAGGACCAGTGCTGATGTCTCTGATGGCACCATTGGGTTTGGTGGTACAGCACATTAACATTATTTATTTATTTTTCTAAAGAGGGTTGAGAAAGGCTCACATTTCAAACTAGAAAAAAACACGTCAAAAAGGAATGATATTTTACTGTCCTATATTTACTTAAACTATTCCTTTCAGACCTCTGTGGTGGCAAAAGAACAACCCTTCTTCACTTCATATTTAAGAGGAAAAAGAAGCTACACCACTACCTTAATGCATTGTCTCCCACTCCTAGACACCCACGCAGGCTTAACTTTCGTAAGAAGCCTCCACATCTTTTAGAAATATTCTCCACTACCCGACCCTGTAAAAGATAGAAAGAATTCCATGATAACTTTTAAGGTAATGTCAGTTTTCATAATCTCCTGTTTAAAAAGTTAAGTACTACTACTACTACTACCACCAATAATAATAAAACAGCAACTGCAGATTAAAAACAGTCTGGATACTATTATAAGCATACGGGGACTGAGAAAATGCAATCACTGTCATGGTAACAACATAAAATGAAGGAACAGAACTATTCAGCTTTTGAAGATGGAGAAACAAAGAACAATTACCCAAATGCAAAGAAGAAAGTTAGGCTACCTAGTAGGAAAATCGTCACCAGTAATAGAAACTGACTGCTCAAAAGAGCAAGTTAAAGCATTATTACTGCAGGTATACAAGTCAGATACAACACAAGGAAAATGGACTTGGTAAAATAAAAACAAACGAACACATGGTACCATAAGAAGTATAAAGGGCTGTTATTATTAGACAGGTACAGGGAGAAGAAGGGCAGTACATGGGAATTCTAATCTCCCAAGAGGATATCTTTCTCTTAAAGTTATCTTAAAAACAAAAAAAACTTCACAAAGCTTTTTACTTCAGAGGATGAAGTGTGAGATTTTAAAAGGAAAGACCAAACAACTGCACCAACACATTAGTTTGTGTCTAGCAATATATATTCTCCCCCTTTGTTTTGCTCTCCATCTTTGATCACCGCGAAATGGATGTCAGTCACTTTATCAAGTGTTACCAGTATCTAAAAATGTTATTATGCTTAAGAGATTTTTCTCTCTAACCCCTCCCTCCCAAACTAAAAATGTAGTCAAGTATTAGGCTAGCTACTGAGGATTGGCATGATCTAAAAAGGATCTCAGCCTGCTTGTACCCCACATCTACCTTCCTTAAAACTTAATCTACAAAAAGAAAGCTACCCTGGGAATGTTTGCTGCAGCTTGGAAGCATTGCAAGAGTGTTGCATTATCTAAAATGGATCAAGGCTACATCCCACACTGCATTTTCAGAAAAGAGTTAAAGAATTTTAAACAATGTATGCCTTTGTAGGACTCCGCAGCAGCCTCACCATGACTGTGAACGAATGTGCTTGGGTTGCAGAGGATTTAAATGCAGTAACAGCCACTTTAAATATTTAAGCAAGCTTTCAGGGAAGATGTAGGGCTTAGTATCCTTTAAAATAAACAACTCTTAGGGCTTGGACAGTCTGAGAATGCTTGCTGAGGGCAAGGAACAGAAACTTATTGGAGCATCGTGTATTAAAAATGGAAGCTAACACTCGGGCACAATTATGGCTGCGTACAGACATCTGGGGAGGTTAGGGGGAGGTTATATCAAGTTAAAAATGGCCACCCAATCTAAGATAAATTGGGATTGTGGGACTAGTGGAGAGGGTTGAGGCTCTGGGTAGGATGGCAGGGTGTCCACAGAGAGCTCGGGGGTGGGGAGGTGGCATCCACAGGGAGGAACTGGGGGTAGGCGGCAACTGAGAGGGGGATCAAGGGACTAGTGAGGTCCATGGGAGAGTTTGGTGGGACCAGAGAGGTTCAAAGGGTCCACAGGTAGGCTTATGGACTCCCCCCCAACCCCTGACCAAGGGCTATTTTTTTTAGCCCTCTGACCCCCAGATGAACAACCCCCACCCCAATTTGCTCAGCTCCCAGCACTGGCAAATTCTAGTAAAAGTGACCCCAGGAGTGGTTTGCAGAATGGGGAGTTTGGTGGGCTGGGGGGAAGGGCAGGGGCTAAACGTAGTTCAGTGCTGGGAGGAAAGGGGAAGAGGGGGCAAGTAGGAAAATCTTGCAGCTGAGGCCTACATCTGGGTTTTCCCAGCCTTGGGGCTATGCTGGAAACTGTACAGAAGTCTGGGACAGTTAGAGTGGTCTAAAAATGGATGACCTGATCTAAATGGAGCATACCTTAGATGTAAAGTTAACTTAGATCGGAGTGGCCATTTTTAGACCAATTTAACTGTCCTGAATTTCTATACAGTTCGCACTTAGATCCACCAGGTCCACAGCTGGATGAACTAAGTTAAACTGAGTGGCCATTTTTAACCCAATCTAACTTCCCTGTAACCTGCCCAAATGTCTGTATTCAGCCTTTATGTTTACGCACATAGTAGTGTTCATAGGCAGATTCTTTAAGCCATATAAAAGCACCCAAAAAACAGAAAACCTCATTTAAATGTAAAGCAGTTTCAAAATGAGAGGAAAGGATTTTTGTGAGTGATATCTTTTATTGGACCAACTGCATGTTTGGGATAGACTTAAGCAAGTTTTTGAATCCAATGCATTCATTTCATTCCACAAAAATCCTTGCCCACCCCTCTCTCTCACAGTTGAGAGAGCAGCTTGGCTGAAGAGTTCCATCCTCATTTTCTTCTTTACCATGGATCAGGGAGCTCCAATAAATATTACCACACATGCAGGAAAATTATGGCATATACAAATGCAGACCTTAACGAAAGCTGTGAATACTTTTATTTTACCTTTCTCCCTTAAATGGGGCAATGTTTGTTAAGGAAAATAAAAACATGTTTCTCCACTGTCACAAACCCCAGGCTACTCACACCCAGTGCATTTAGATCAGGCTCTAGGACATACAAACTGCTACTGTGTTGCAGGCCATTTCCTTTATCCTAATTTGTGTTTAAATATGTGCCTGGCCCGAAGAGCACTAAAATACTCCCCTCTAAAAATGCAGTGTAACTTTCAGCTTCCATCAAAACCCTCAAATCTTGGTTTTATATACTTCCTCTAATATAGAGTATTCAAAGGAAATATAGCATCTGATAAGGGGCTGAATCCTGGTTTGTTTTTTATTTTTTATTAGCCAGGATCACAGACTTTTTTGGTCCTTGGAATAGCAAATTACACAGACATTCTTGGATGGCCTTCACAGTTTACTTCGACACATTTATCCACAGGTACAAGGCATTTCCACGGCAGATGTTTTAGAAGCAACTCAGAACTGGGGATCTCTTGCATCCCCCGGTTCACATTTTCAATTTGGCCGTGTACAGAAAGGACAGAAAAAGCCATAGCAGGCTTCTGTCATAGAAACACTGTAATGTAATAGCATAAATTTGAATGTACTACATAAAAAAATTATTTTATTGAAGAGAAAAATCTAGAGCCTGATATTTATCAGCAAGCTTTCAGCAACAGAACATATTTACCCTTGTTATCTCTGTTCGCAGGAAACTAAAAACTGTTTTCTTACTGTGTACATGTATGCAGGTACAGACATACAATGTATGCCTTTCAGTCCTGATATAGATAAATAATTGTCCACTTCCAAAAGCTGAATGAACTGCAAAGCCTTTAAAGGCTCCCTGAAGCTAAGAAGTACTGAAATTAATTATTTCTATCTCCAGAGAAGGTAAAAAGGGTTATACTGGAGTATTAATCTATTCCAAGCTGTAATTACATTTTAACGAGAAAAATAGGTTTGTATGTCACTTAACTATACCTCAATATCCCTCTGGAAATCAAACAGGTCAATTCGCTGCCAGTTACTGCCATCCAGGGCCAGAACATTCCATGCCTTTATTGAAGGAAAAAAATGTCAGTGTGGTTAAAATGAAAAAAAAATGCCAGTAGGAACCTAGTTACAATTTGTCCCTTTCAGAAATAACACTGTCTCAGGTGAGAAAGCATCAAATAATTACAGCAACTGATGAAACCCTTAGGTCAGCAATACCAGTGGTTCAGCCAGGACATACTTGCTTATACAATATGCTCTACCTAAATCCTCGTACATCACAGAAGTCTTATGCAGACAAGTCTAAGGCATCAATGAGATTTTCACTTTTAGGACATACAAGAAACTTATGTTGTGTTTAGAAAAAACTTTGCAACTGGGGAATATATCCAGGGCTAGCATTCTAACAACACTCATTCAAGGATCTCAAAGCATTTTAAAAATAAATGGTGTCTATAAACATACTCCAGGGTGGGGGGGAGAGGAGTTTTAATTAGATTGGCTCCCAGACAACCACTCTAATTAAAACACTACAGACAAATGTATTCAGCATCCTATATTCAAAATAGCTGAAGGGGTGCTTTAATTAAAGCTCATTTAATGAGTTTTAGTTAAAATGCTCTGACCACCATTTTGAAGTGTGGGACACTAAATACGTGCAATGCTGCAACATGCTGGAGCATTCTAATTTAACTCGATTTAAGCAAGTCTGCTCCAATGCATTCTAATTAGAACGCATCAGAGCACATGTACACCCAAAGGCTTTATTTCCAAGCACATGTATGCATTTTACAGAGGTATAGACAGGTCAACAGGCTAGTTTGTTGATTTCAGAATTGCTGAATATCTGTGGATTACACTGATGGCTGTGAGAGCTGCAGGTACATGGCACCTCTGGGGGGGAAAAAAAAAAAAAAAAAATATCAGGTCATTGGGCAAATTAAGGTCCCAGCATATCACAGGCACAGCCAGGAAAAGAACCCAGAACTCATGACTCCTTGAGGTCCTGTGCCCAGACACAAGACCATCCACTGGGTATTTTCAAAGCACTTCTGCTTCCTCAGCAACAATTCAGTTCAATTAGCAGCTCTCGGAATTCCCCAATTTCCCTTTTACCCAGTCACTTTACGACCCTCAATGACGTACAATTACATCCGATTTCTGAAGCAACATGCCACTGTAACAAAAGGCAAATCCATCCTACATGCAATGAAAATCATTAGAATTTATGCTCCGCGCCGAATTATGTGCCATTTCGCCATCAAAAAGAAAAGAGCCACAGGGGTTATGACAGAGCTCACTTAACTCTGAATACCCTTGCTTTTCAGATTAAGGGAGTGAGGCAGTCCTTACTTCACTCAGGTAGTAAACACACCCTGTAATAGATGTACACATTACAGTGCCGAGGAATAGGTCAAGGACGGAGCGTTAACTCTGAAATTCCTCACCTATGCAAATTTAAAATCAGGTGCTTAACTTCCACTATAAAAATAAATCAACCTTCTCATATACTAAAATTTAGAAAGTAAGATTGTTTCAGGCATACATTATTTTCAGGGACCTAACTGAGGAGTGGAGCAGTGGTGCTGGCAAACAGAATATTTTATTTAACACTCACACTGCCAACTAACCTCCCTGTGGCAGACACTTAAACTGAGGTGTTGTCCAACTTTTACAAAAATGAAGATATGGAACCAGATAAATTTGCTCGTTTCCTATGATGTGGAAGTCCAGCAGGTGCATGACAACTGGTTGCTACGTATTTTACAACTCTCATAGTTAACTGGGCTCCTCATTTTTAGTTCTTGCTTCTACTTGTTCTCATTGCACACCTTTTAATGTTGCAGGGCCTAGACCATCTTTTTGTCATGCATTTGTACAAAAATGGCAGGGCCTTGACCCAAATGGGACTCATGGGAGCTACTGTAATACAAGTTAATAAGCCTATGTACAGCTGGGACTGGGGTTTCTGCAGCTAGGAGAGAGATCAGGTCTGAGCAGGATTAACAATCCAGGAGGGGGTGACCAGGTATTAGTGGGATTCCAGACAGCACTAAGTTTAACATCAGCAGCTCAGTGGTATTTAGTGAAACAAAGAAATTTGTTTTTTTTTTTTTTTTTTTTTAAAAAAAAAAAAAAAAAAAAATTTTTTTTTTTTTTTTTTTTTAAAAAAAAAAAAAAAAAAAAATTTTTTTTTTTTTTTTTTTTTTTTAAAGAAACAGTAAATACACCATCTCTCACACACTCACTGAAGACAGAAGGGAGGAGATGATTTGCTTTCATATAATCCCATTCCCAGACATGAACTAAGCACTTTTTCTTTTTCCTTTTTTAAATAAGACTATGGCTCTACCCATATTAGATGACAGCCTGCAATAGTGAGATTTATGGGAATGAAAATCTATCAAGTTACTAGTATAACAATACTTGGACAAGGCTGTTTATGCCACTATTGAGCACAGAGCAAGTTTTCAGAAAGCAAATAAATCCACAGAAGGAAGCTTATATTTTTTTTTGCATGTTAATTACTTTTCATAACAGTTGTTGCTTCCAGCAAATTTTGATACCACATGTGATGAGGTCTGTGCAGTTAGGTCTATCTGGAAATGTTTACTGAAATTCTTGAAATCACTACTATTACCTTGGAGTGAAAGAGGAAGAATGCCATTGTATTCACAGTACATGCCCACTAGCCAAGGAAAGCTCTTTCTGCTCTAGCTGGACTGTGAGCACATACTGTAAAGAGACTTCCTAATAAGCCATTTAAGTGAAGAGGCTCAGGCATCATTAGCATCTCAAAAAGTAACTAGTATTAAAGAGCTAGTTCAAACACTTCTTAAGAGGATGCAGCCCATTGACACAGAAGGCTCTTTTGTTTTAAAAAGTATTGATACATACTGATGGTTTTGCCTAATCATATCTATATTCCTCCATCTGTCATGTTCTGGGAGTAGATAGCATGAAGCATCCTGGTGAACCTCTAAGACAGGGGTCAGCAATGTTTTTGAGCAGAGTGCCAAAAATATCTGCAACCTCAACTTATAAAATGTTGGTGTGCCAGGCTAGACTGTGGGGGAGCAGTAAGGGGCCTAATCCTTGTTGTGACAGCACAGCTCCAGCCCCTTCCCTGCTGTCGGCCCCAAGGTGCATGCCAAGCAAAACACCTTCACAAGCCATGCTCTACCATCTGTGCCGGGGGTTGTCTACCCCTGCTCTAAGATGTCTTATTCTTTCCAGCGTATCCACCACACTTAAGCTCTCTCTGGAATAACTGTCAGGTATGTTTTTCTACTTTCTCCTCATTTCTACCCTGACAAGTTTCTTCATGGACTTGTGATGCAAAGAAAGAAGAATCAATCCTGAAAGACAGATCCAGAGTCAGTGCCAAGGGTCACTGTGCCAAATAAATAACAAGTGTCAACGCAAGTGTAACTCTGTGCTGCCACAAAGACTATTACGGCAATATTAGGTATAGGCCTGTAGTACCTTGATTTAGGTGTTATTAGTGGTATTGGGCAAGGGACTAGATCGGAGCAAAAGAACAAGAAGATCCACAGGTTGGGCTCACGGCAGAAAGGAACTGCTGAGGCTGGAGAGACAAAAGGATCCTTGTCTCAGTACTCACTATAAGCCTGAAGCAGCAGGGTGTAGGGCCTAAAGCTAGATGAGCCTGGAGCTTGCAATCCTGGCTCACTTGGAGCTTCAAAGAGATGACATGGCAAACACCATGCCAGACTACTGAGAGTTTTACTCAGACACTGGATGCAGTGAACATAGGAATCAGCTTCTGGTTCAATCATCAAGCAGGAGGTGCATCTCTTGAAGACCTTATATAGCTTATGGCCCCAACAAGAGGCTGAACACAGCTAAGTTGTACTTAATAGCCCTCTAACAAGAAAACCAAACTAAACTAGACTGAACAAAGATGCGTTCCAGTCACTTTATACAGCGGAAAAGCTGACAGAAAAGGGATTTTATCCCTTACAGCACAGTAAAGATGTCACCTCATCCATCCCTTAAGAGGAAAAGTTATTCAAGGTAGTTTTACAGCTTGACACAAGGGGGGTCATATTCCACAAGTCGGACTATGTAAAAGCCCTCACATGACAATGGATTTTTTATCTGTTTCACAAATACATTTTATTCTTACAAAGGACTCTGTAAAACATTTCTAGAGCAGTATGTTTACTATTTTCACTTTAAAACAGAGGATATTTTTCTTAAGCATTTAAACAAGGTATTCAAATATTTGTTACTTATGCTATGAACTGAAGACCTGCTGTCTGTGATTATTAAATACAAAAAAGCTATGTTAAAATACCACCACCATTAAGCTTTATATAAAAAAAAGCAGTGAGGAAAAGCAAAGCTATGGTTCTTCACAACTGTAACTTCATTTTTTTAATTACACGTGTACTGAAGTTACCACCACAGTATCACAAAATGCCATAACTTGGATGTACAAGGCAAAAGAGTTTGCAATAGCTGAGGGAACTGAATCATCTTATTTCTGGGTACTTAGAATCTCAATCAGGAGATTAGTCCTATTCAGTTTGTATTTTCCTGAAAATAAGTAATTAAATGTGCAAGAACAAAAGAAGTGTGCCAGTTTTAATACACGTTTTAATACAGAATCCAATGAGAGTACAATATATTTGCATATAGACTAGATTGAGCAAATGACTCAGTCTTAAGAAAGAAGCTACTTATTGCCTGTGTCACAAAGCATCTAATGTGTTCACAGATGCCCTGAGGAAAGGGATGGGTGTGACAAAAATGGGAGTAGCAGATGTGAGGGGTAAACACCTTTGGAAGACTATGTGGGCCAGTCACTATTGCTACACTGAGGAAGTAAAACTAGTAAGTATAGAATTCAGGATACAAAAGAATGTGATTATTAACATAAAGTCTGTGGGTTGTGTGGTACGTCCACTTGCAGAAATTCTGGACAGGAGCTCTTAAAACAAGTTGGGAAGCTCCAGTTGAACTGGGGGAAGTTGAAGATCCATTTTACTTCCAAGGAATTTTAGGATTGAACTTCACTGGCTGAACTGCATGGTCCTAAATTACTTTAGCAGTTAAACAGTGAATTCAATACCTAGTTTTCCTTCCACCACTTTGCAGTGACTAAACTGAAGCAAAGGAAAAAATGCTCATTGATATTCTCTCAGCATTAAAAATTAAAGTAATTAACTTGATAAATCTGAGCTAAAACACATTTTACTTTTTAAAATGTGATTTTATCTATCTTCAGCTAGCATACCCAAGATGAATACATTTCTTCTGTTCAGTGCAGCCTTTCAACACCACCTAGACTGTTCTTGCAATTTTTTCTAATGGTTGCAATTTACTTTTCTCTAAGATGGATAGGGCTTTAGTTGCTACCAAATGGAAATATTTAGATATGAACTGCAGAATCATCAGTGCAGTAGACAGCAGAAGCTCCTGGCATTACTAATTTACTACGGAGAATGATATTCTTATAAACAAAGCTTACTAATACCTACAACTTCTAAAGTCCTAAAATCATACTGAGACATAAGTAATTAAAATCTACCAACATTGAAGGGGGGTGGGTGGGAAACAAACACAAAAAACATTTCCTACCCTGGAAACCTGAGCACAGCGACACAGAGTGACCACATCCAGGAAAGAGAATATTCTGTAAGAGAAAATAAAAATGTAAAGACATTTACTTCAGAGACATCTCAGTTATTTGCACATAAAATAAAGAGAATGTAGAAAGCTTAAAGAAAAGTTGGAGAAAGCAAACTTCTTTTTACAGTAATTCAGCTGGAAGCTTAACTGAAAATAAAAGTGCAGACCAAGCAGTTAATAAATGAAAGCAGAATCCCACATATTGAACTGCCGTGAAATTTTTAATCTCATACCTCGTAGTATTCGCTGACAGAGAGTAAACTGAATGATTATTTATCAAAATACAGATGCTTAATGCTACCTTGTAGCTCAGTACTCAAATGATCAATTAGCTCAGGACTTGTCAGAATAAATAGTTACAATTCAACACAAGAGAACAGTTGTACAAAGAATCTGTCTGTTTAGCAGTGAAAATTCCCCAACAGTTGTATTGCTCTGACAGCAGCTGCCAAAATGCATAACAAGAAGTTAAAAGCTTCAGTAAATCCTGGAGCCAGGTTCCAGTTCAGAAACCAATATATTATTTCTTATCATTAAAAATAATTGAATAAGCAAAATGAGAAATAGTTGAAAGTGCTGTCTCTTCCTCATGCCCCGGGGAAAAGGTAGAACAAGTGTATCTTGCCAGATGAGTTAATTAGAGTATGTCAGTGGTATAAGGTGTGTAAATCAGGTGTGGTAGGAATAAGCAGACTATTTGAAACCCCAACTCTTTGCAAGAGGGCACACCCAAAAGTATTTAGATCTGCTTGATCTATTTGCTTATTGTCCTCTTTATCAGAACATTAGAAAGAGACTTCTACTCTGTATTCTTTTTTCAAGGGGCTTAGTTTTTCTATTTAGTATCCTACTGAGTATATATAAATCCTTAAATACTATACTTTACACTCCTGAGGAAATAAGCAGTTTATTAACAATATCTGAGCCCTGGACTAAGCTATATGAATAAGATTAAAGAGTTTGAAACAGACATTTAACACAATAAGCATTTATAACCTATGATGTTGATTATGAAAGTATGTTAACCACAAGGTTAAGCGTTTATAGCAAAAGATAATACAATTAAGTTATGAAAATAAATTATTACAGATTTATTATTATAGATCCTGATATCCCTAAGTGTAAAAGGTCAGCTTTAATATTGAGTGGAAGTAAAGAGTATTTTCAGAAAGTGGAAAACGTTAATATTTGTATTTATAAAGATTCAGGACAAGAACTGTGCACCTGCTGCTTTGTTTCATCGTTTCAAGGGTCGGAAAGGACCTGAACAGATCATCAAGTCTGACCCCCTGCCCTGGGCAGGAATGAGAGCTGGGAACGTAATACCCCAGCCAGATATCTATCCAACGTCCTCTTGAAGACCCCCAAGGTAGGGGAGAGCACCACCTTGCTCAGGAGCCCATTCCAGAGCCTGGCAGCTCTAACTATAAAGTAATGCCTTCTGATATCAAGCCTGAATCTACTCTCAAACAATTTGTGGCTGTTATTCCTTGTTATCCCAGGTGGTGCCCGAGAGAATACAGCCTCACCTATTTTCCGCTGGTCCCCCCGGTGAGTTTATAGACAGCCACCAGACCCCCTCTCTGTCTTCTCTTGTGGAGGATGAATAGATTCAGGCCCTTTAGTCTATCTTCATAGGGCCTGGCCTGCTGCCCCTACCATGCGAGTGGCCCTCCTCTGGACCCTCTCAAGGTAAGCCACATCCCTCTTGAAGTGCAGCACCCAGAACTGGACATAGTACTCCAACTGCAGCCTGACCAGTGCCGCATACAGGGGAAGAATCACCTCCCTGGACTTGCTTGTGATGCATCTGTAGATGCACGACAAGGTGTAGTTAGCCTTACTGACCGCTTCCTCACATTGGTGGCTCATGTCCATCCTGGAGTCAACAGTGACTCCAAGATCCCTTTTAGCCACTCTTGTTGAGAAGGGAGTTCCCCAGCTTATAGGTATGTTGCAGGTTCCTTCTCCCTAGATGCAGCACCCTGCACTTGTCTGTGTTGAATTCCATTCTATTCCCATCCTCCCATCTCTGTAACCTGTCTAGATCTAGCTGGATTCTGTCCCTCCCCTTCAGTGTGCCCACTTCTCCCCACATCTGTGTGTCATCAGCGAATTTGGACAGCGTGCTTTCCATATCCATCTCCAAGTCACCGATAAAGATGTTGAATAGCACAGGCCTGAGGACCAAGCTCTGGGAACTCCACTGCCCACATCCCTCCAGGTCTAAAACGACTCATCCACCACCACTCTATGGGTGCGACCATTGAGACAATTTGCCACCCATCTGATTGCATCGTCATCAATGCTGCAGTCGCCTAGTTTCGTTTATGAGCATGGGGTAAGAAACAGTGTCAAAGGCCCTTGAAGTCCAGGTATCCACCTCAACACCCGCACCCAAGGACTTTGTGACCTGGTCGTAAACGGAAACAAGATTAGTTAGGCAGGACCTGCCCGCAATGAACCCGTGTTGGTTGCTCCTAAGCATTACCTCCCATGCTAGGCCCCCCCGCAGATGTACTCCTTGATAATTTTCTCAACGGTCTTCCCAAGGACCAAGGTGAGACTAACTGGCCTATAGTTACGTGGGTCCTCCTTTCTCCTCTTCTTGTAAATGGTGACCACCCTGGCCCCTTTCTAGTCCTCTGGGACCTGGCCAGAGCACCACGAGTACTCATATAGCCATGCCAAGGACCCTGCTATGACCTCTGCCAATTCCCTCAGTACCCGTGGATGAAGAGCATCTGGACCTGCTGATTTAAACACATCCAGGCCCTCCAGAAGTTACACAACTAGACTGTCCCTGACCCTAGACATGGTGTCATGTTCCCTGCATTTGACAGGGTTTTACAAATTATTTTCAACTGAATTTAATTCAGAGTGTTGTTTCTTCTTCTTAAAGGATGGAAATATTAGCAATAAACTTCATCTAATTCACCCTAAATTTCTGTTCTATCATATGCAGTTCCTACAGGACAAATCAGCTTCTAAATCCCAGAATTGTAGGAGAATGCTTCAGTTTCTCTCAAGAGACTAAGGCTGCTTCTGTGGTGGTCATGTCATACATTTAAACTATTAGCTGTTGCATAAAGGTTAGCAGGTTCAGACAATGCAATTGCTCCACAGTGCAGTATCAAAGTGCCATGAATAAGGTTGAAAATTCCTTCAAACATAAATGTTCTAGATCAGGAGTCAGCAACGTACGGCCTATAGACTGGACCTGGCTTCATGCAGAGCTGGAGGGCTTCACTGGTGGAGGACTTTGCTCCTGCCATGGCCAGGCAGCTGGGAGTTGTGCCCATACTGCAGCCAGAGGGCAAGGAGAAGTGGTATCCAGGTCAAAACACTAGCCCACCTCACACTTGAGCAGGTTTGTTCTGGCCCACAGCTCAAAAAGTTGCTGAATGCTGCTCTAGATCAGGGGTGTCATAAATATGGCCTGCTAACCCCCATCACCTGGCCTGCAGTGCTACCCCTGGCCCTCAGAGTTAATCTACACGCTACACACAGCGCCTGCCCCAGTAAGCCTGAGGCAGGTGCTGTAGGGGTCCATTGTTCTCAATGTCACTCACATTTGTGAGTGCCTGAATAAGTAACTTTCATGACATCCTGAAAAATCCAGTCCACCCCACACTAGGACAGCCTACAAATTGGAGAGGGAAAGATAGGAGACCAAAGGAAGAGATGGGCAAGCCTAGACTGGGAAAAATGTGGAGCTGAGAAAACATCATTCACATCTGTCTTCCTTGCATGATTTATAGGCCTGATGAGCAGACCATGAGCATCCAGTACTGCTGGATTACTGAAAATGTTTCATATAAATTATGTATTTCACTCACTGCCTGGAATAAATACATAGTATCAGACTGGTAAAGCTGGTGAAAGACGCATTTACAATAAGGAATAAACATCTTGTGTACTGATGACAAACTGTTCTTTACAACAAGGTCATGACTGGGAGGAGTTATCAAGGCTGCTGCTGGTGCACACCAGGCAGACAAAGCAGTATATGAAAACTGGGTGTGTGTCAGGTATATACAGATATTACAATTATATGCACTAGGTCAGTGTTTCTCAACCTGTGGTACACGTACCCCTGGGGGTAACAAGAGACACAGGCAGGGGGTATGCGGGTGCTGCGTTTTGGTCTTTGCCTGCTTGGGCCAGAAGTTCCGGCTGCTGCCCCCTCCCGCCATGTCCAGAGTGCCAGAGCTCTCACTCCCCAGAGTCAGTGTGCTGGGGGATACGGAGGGAGGCCCCACGCAGGCTGCTTTGCCCTGGGCCACGGTGGAAAAAGTGGGACTCAGCTTGAGGCAGCAAAACCAGAAGCGCCACAGTGGGACCTCCGGTTTCGCTTTTGCCGCATCCATCGGCAGGGGGTACATAAGGTACCAAAGGTTGAGAACCACTGCACTATGTAATCTGTAAATAGCAAGCCATGGACTTGCAGTTTTTCAGGAAAGGAGACTGGCAGGGGTGTGATGACATGACATACTATAACAAATAACATTATCAAGACTGAAAAACCTTGACATCATCATCAGCAAAAGCACTCTGCTGACTATCCCAAAAGGAAATAAGCTATTTATTACATTCTGTTCTCAGAAAGAGACAAAAATCAATTCACAAGGGAGCAATGCATTGGTGGAGGTCTCATTTGTCAACATCCCAAAGACTGCCATCTCATTAACCATTTTGTTTAGTTTTGCTGTAAAAGTAATAGGATTTCAAGAGCTTGCTTTCATTAACCCTGTGACCTCTGATGCTCAGTAACTCTGCAGTAGATATTAAGTAGCTTTCTTAAGGAGGGTGGGAAAGGTGTGTGGGTAGGACAGAAGGAGTTAGCAGCAGAGCAGCAGGCAAGTGTTTTACAGGCAAAGGGGTCAAAGGCAGTGATCCTTAACCAGGTGCCTTAAGATCTTTGCAAGCACTGTTAGGTATGAGAACACAATTCACATGGTAAACCCAGGATTTCAAATAGGGATCCATAGTGTTAAAGACATT